AGGGGATCTCGTAGTCGAGCAGTCTCGACTAGAGCTTTCTTACTTGTTTAAATAAATATCGTAGCAGAAAAGTCCTATTTTCTTAGCCTAAACTCTTATTTTGCTTATTGTAAATTATTATATTATTGTAAAATAATGTTCACAAACATCTGTACTGCAACAAAGAGTGAAATAAATTGAAATTGAAATAAAATATTAAAGATAATAATTATAATAATATATAATAATAATAATAATATTTAAAATAATATTCGTATTAATGATAATAATTTAAAAAAAATAAATAAATATAATAAAATGCAGAAAATATATCGAATTTTCTTCAAAAATTATTATTTATTTATTTATTTTTTTTTTTTTGTGAATGATTTTAAAGAGCTTTAACTTGGTTTATTAAGTACTTTTGAGAGTACAAATTCATTTATTTTCTGATTTTTTTATAACAAAAATAGATTTTATTAAATTGAAAGTCAATATAAAATAAGTATCAATATACAATATAAAAACAAAAATGCGATGAGAGACGACCTGTACTTTCTTTTAGTGCAGACTTATTAAAAGCCTTCCTCATAGACAATGGCTTTCCATTATTTAATTAGTATGATACTTAATTATTTCTAGCAGAAGCGCAAAATCTTTATTTGCAGAAGCTATAAATAAATAGCAACAAAATATAGCTAAGCGAGTACACCAATAAAACGCATAAGGACATGTTAATAATTCTAATTGTTATTAGATATGCATGATAATGATTTTTGAATAGCATTGACTTTGCCTAAAATAACATCCACTCACTGGCCTGCAAAGGCAGCTCGATTTCACAAAGCTAAATGCCTGGCTGTCCCCATTGAAGCCTTTTAGCAATACAATTTACGATTTTCTTTGGCTGCACTCATATGAGCAAGCTGATGTATGTGTGTGTGTGTATGTATGTACATATGTGGCCAGAGCCTTTACAATTACAAGCGCACACGAAGAATGTCAGCTCTGCACATTGTTGCTTCATTAAAATACTGAATCGGAGACACATATGCCAGCACCTTGATACTTTATTGTGCTACACACACACACGCACACACACACACACACACACACAATCGGTAGCTGGAAACATGCAATGACAACGCCCCACAGAGAGCCACGTCGGCTGCTATCGAGCATACAGCGCCCATTGTCATGCCCAGAGATGCAAATTGTCTTTGACATGGGCAAGTACAAGATAATATTTCTCTCCTGCATGCACACACACACACTCACACACATACGCATCGCCACCCTTCAAGGCTGCTGCTGACAATTTCCGGTTACAAGTCAGTCGGTCGCCTCGTCCATCCGTCTGTCTATCTGTCGGTCGGTCTGTCTGTCTGTCGGTCCATTGGTCGGCGTGTTTGTCTAGTTGCCTGTCAATTGTGTCTTTCTCTAGCTGTATCAAAACTTCAGCTCTTTGTGACATTGTATGATGCTTTATTTTGCCTATACCAAAGGCAATTACACCTTGTTTTTGTTCGACCAAGATATTCAAACGGGTCTATGCTCTACTCTGTATACATATTGAAAATATTTATTGCCATCACCTGAACGTATATATTCTCTGACAAATATTGTTTTATGCATATCACATTTTGGATTTAATAAATAGTAAAACTAATCGAGCTAGAAACTCTTTTGAATTGTGGGGAAAAAATATTCGATTCAATTGCCAATTTAAATTCAATTTAGTTCCCATGAAAACATAAATATGTATATTTTGTTCCCCAGTTTATATATATTTAAAGATTCGGAGAACTCTAAATGTATTTTGGCTGTAATATTCACCGACTTTTTCTAATTACATCTACAGGTAATTGTATGCATAGGGTATTGCTTAGCCAGCCTAAGAGCTGTAGCACTTGGACTTCAGTTCTCGTACGCTCGGCTGCATATCAACAAATTTACATTGTTGCTTTGCCGAAATTGAAAAGTGTTTTTCGGTGCTTTCTGTTCGCTCTGTCTGCTCAGAGTCCTTTTTTGAAATGCGCATATTAATGAGGCTAGCATCTGGTTGTTTATTCATTGGAATTCGTCTCGAAATTTTCTAATTTGATTTGTTGGCTCGAGTCGCACTGTGTCCTCGATAGCAGATAATCCAACAAAGCCGTTGCCATACTTCCCACCCCTTCCCAAGCCATTGTTCTTCACAAAATACCAAAACAATTCTTGCGATTTGCTCAAAGCGCTCTGACATCAAGTCAAGTGTAAACTCAAACGGCTCTTTTGATTAGCGGCGAACATTATATGCACTAATTAATGTTGCTGCTGCACCAGGGATATGTATCGCAAATGATAAATCATGCGGCAAGCATAATACAGCTTTGTGCACCGCACACAGCCATTCACACAGACACGAAGCGGCGAGTGAGGGGGCTGGGGAGGTGGATGCATGAAGGCAACGCCAGGCAGCGATTGCCTGCAGCCAGTGGTGAAATGCACAAATGTTTGCCTTGTTTGTGCAGTCGCACGCAGATCGTATAGCCAGTGTAAACAACGCATCAAAAAAAAGGGAGAGCGAAAATTGGTTTGTTGTGTTTGCAGTGCATGAAACTATTTATTTTCG